AAAGTGCCTTGGCCCTAAACCCAAACAATGCTTTGGATCGTTTAAAGCTTCCATTTCTTATGAGTGTGTAACACTGTACGGCTCTGTGGACCTAGAATTGAATGCCTAGTGCATACGAGCGCAATAATTGACTGACAGACTAGAGCGGCGGCCTCGGCCACTTCTGTGACCCCAAAGCGAGACACTTACCCCAAGGCCAAGTTTCCCCGGCTACTGAGGCTCTGCATCCACAACGCACCTGCAACACCAACACAAGCCGTACGTTCAGACTCCCATCTCAACTCCCTTGTCCGGCACTGAGCCATTAAGAAAACCTTACCCAGCTGGCCCAACACCGCCACCGCCATCTTTCCCAGGCTCTACGGAAGCCTCCGAGCCCGCACGCCGCCACCACAGGACGCATGCGCGACTCTCCGGGCTGTGTCCGCTTCCGGAACTTCCGCTTCCGGAACTTCCGCTTCACAAACTCGCGCGGTGTTGTCATGGAGACCGCGGGCGTGCCGCGGGCACCTGAAGTGTGATTGGATGACCCGTGCTTAAAATGATTTCATACAGGCGCAAACTAGTGAGTTGCCAAGAATTCACAGGAACCCAGGAAAACTGCGAAACCTCTCCACAAGTGAAAGAACTAGGGAAACAGAGTTTATGAACAAGTCACAAGTCACCAGCCTCAGCTTTGTGGCCAGTAAAATATAGAAACGACTATCCCTACGGCGCAGACGAAGGAGCCCTGGCGCTTTAGGGGGTTACACGGTGGGAGAACTGAAACGTCAGATACATTTCCCGTGTCCAAGAAGACGCCTTGCTGGAGTGGGTTGAGCATTGGGTTGCTTGTGACAGGCAGGACCAACAACCTCTCCCCAGCTTTCTACTGCCCGGAAGATGGATAGCCTTGTAAACCCCACAGGCAGTCTGCGGGGACCTATCGGTTACTGTGAGTCAGAATCGACCCAATGGCAGTGAGCTTCGTAGTATGGCTCACACTTGTAAAGCTTATTAGATAGTAACGATTACTAGGTATGGAAGCTCTTTTAAAGACCAAGCAGTTCAAAAACGAAGTTTGATGCTTTCTTTTTTTAATTTCACCATCTTTTTTTCTAATCATTTTATTGGGGCTCATACAATTCATCACAATACATAGATCGATTGTGTAAAGCACACCTATACATTTGTTGCCCTCATCATTCCCAAAATTCGCTTTCCTCTAGGGTTCCCGGAATCAGCTCATTTTCCTTTTTTCCCCTCCCCGAAGGTTGATGCTTTTACTACCACCGAGTCGATGTCATAGCGACCCTATGGGACAGGGCTTTAGTCTCCAAGTGAGTTTCCTAGACTGCCACTGTTTACGGCAGTTATAAGACCCATCTTTCTCCCGCGGAATGGCTGTTGGTTCCGAACTGAAGACCTTTGGGATTGCAGCCCAATGCATAACCACCGGGCCACCAGGGCTTCGCTGATGCTCTTATTCATCTCCAGCTTCACCACTAAGAAATTAGGTAATATTTCATCAGGCACTTCCTACTGTACATAAAACCCTGCAGGCAGGGCACATTCCTCACAACAATCCACACCATCGATTACCACTTCTCTTCAAATGAAGAAACTGATTTAGAATAGCTGTCTTCTCTTCAGGAGCGTTGGTATCAAAGTAGGGTAGCTGAGAAGACAATTTGAACCCACCAACCACTTTGCAGAATAAGGGTGAGGTAGTCTGCTTACATAAGGATTTACAGCCACAGCATCCCCATAAGTAAAAACCGCACTGTTATCGTGTCGATTCTGACTCCTAGCCACCTAATAATACAGTGTAAAATCACCCTTACGGGTTTTGTGACTGTAAATGTTGACGGGCATAGAAAGCCCATTTCTCCCACGGAGCAGCTGGTTTTGAACAGCTGACCTTGCAGTCCAAGAGAATCCCTGTTGAGCAGTTCTACTGTGCCCTAGAGGATTTCTATGTGTTGGAAATCACTCTATGGCAGTGACTTTGGTTTTGTGGTTTTTAGTTTCTCTCCACTAACTGACAAAACCTGTGGTCAATCCTAAACTGGATGTCTCCAAAGCTGGTGTCTGTATCTACATCTTAATAAACTCATGTATGTGTGTCCTCTCTATATTAAGGGTAGATTTTTCAGCTTCGTTTGCTGACATGCATGAATGCAAATTCCCAATGCCAACAAAGCAAGAGGAGTTAAAGTGAAGAATCACAGCATTTTGCTTGGTTGAGCCAGAAGTGATTTTTATTATTTTTTGCTTCCATGGTAATTCCCACATACAGCTCCCTTCTCAGAGTTCACTCGATCAAGTGTGAATCAAAAGAACTGCTCCATCCTGCTTCTCTTTAATCTTTGAGTACCAAAAACCCAAAGCCAGAATTTCCACACATTGCAAAACATTTTCCTTG